AGCGAAAATTCAAAATTGTCCAGGAGCGCCAAAATGATGATTTGCATCTCAAGGACCCTGCAAATAACGTCAACCATCGACTGACAGCACCATGTGCAACGGTCAATACTTACGCGAACTGCCAGCCGATGCACCCACGAGTACCCGTCGCTAGAAAGCTCGCGCATCAGAAGACGAGACGCCTGATAGGACCACTCTTTCAAGTACGTACAGAAGCTCATCCTGAAGCAGGTCGTCAGTCAAGTACGGTTGAGATGGACCCATACTCACAAGCTGCCAAAGACCCCAATATTGGACGACGCTTCCTTGAATCCTCTCAGTGGGTCTAGGAACCGCTCTGGATTCCACTCGTTCGCATCTTCGCCCCACACATCCGGCAGCCTATTTTCCCGTTCAGCTACCAGCCCACCCAACGCAACATCAGATTCACCGATTGTAGACTGCTAGAGAAATATCGATTGGCGTCCCCTTCTTGATGGGAATCGACGTGATTTGTTGTCCCGACTTGGTTGTGACTGGGAAAGCTAACGGGAGTATGTCATCGCGACTCGCTGTCCTTGCAGTGTACCAGATGATGGGGTCGAGCCTCATCGACTCCTACACATCGTCAGAGGCAATAAGACACAGAAATAGGTAAAGTCGACCACCACCTTCAGTGTAGCCAGAGTGTATGCCATACTGTCGAGATCTGCGATGGTAAACTCCTCTCCGGCGGCTCTGGCACGGACAAGTGCGATCTCTTCTCGGATGCGCACCTGCGCCTCGGGATGTTTCGCAAGTGCGTAGAAGTACCAGGTCAGGGCTTTGGCGGTGGTTTCATGCCCAGCAGAGAGGAACGTGCTGTTGTCGGCATACCAGTAAGCAACATACAGCGCGGCCATCGAGTGACGCACGCGATCTGGTCGACCATTTCATCTTCGGGCATCTTGTTCTTAGGATTGGACGATCCGTTCGCACGCAGAAGAACACTCATGATGTCGTTTCCGTCTCCTTTATCCGTGCTCTGCTTGATCAGTCCCCTAGAGAATACACGGACATTGTCCAGCCAAGAGCGCAATCCGCGATACTCGCGCGTGGGTATGTAGCGGACATATTCAAGCAGTGGTCTCGGGATGTACTTCCATGTCCCCTTGAAGACGAGGTCGTACCAAGAAGGGTAGAGCATGGAGTCGACGCTATTGATTAGCGACATGTGTCATCCTGAGTCGTGACGTGAAGGCAGATGGAGATATTTTGGGCTTACAGGTCTTTGTCATTTCGAACCACCAAGGGGTTCGCTAAGTTATCGAGCGACCCGAACTGGAAGTCGAAGCCGGCTTTGGGTTGGCGGTCAGTATGCGACGCTACAGCAGCAAAAATCGGGCAAAACCTTCTCCAATAATGTCGAGTGACGCGCGTGAGAACCACCCCACCACGTTCACGAGTGGCTGACCAGACGGGTCGGCAGCGATTACTTCTTTCCACTTTTGAACGAGCTGTATGCAATCAAATTGTGACGCGTCCCCCCCGAGTAGATTGCCAAAGTCAAACCTTTGACGCGGTCCCGTGGAACAACGGAAGGAAGGATTGTACCTGATGAGTGCTGAACGCCGGGCTCATGATCTTCCGCTGACGGTGATGAACCTGGCCTGTGGTACGGTTTGTCCGAGTCTATGAGTTGTGATTGAAAACCATTCAAAGGAGTACAAACCCTCGGCGGCAACTAATCCGTTTCCGGCCGCCAACCTAGAAAACTGGGCCCTGTCTATCGTCTTGGGGTAATGATATCCAGCAGAGTGTAGGATGTGTTTCGATGCCTTTGGGTCCGCCAACATTAAGCGATCTGTCTGTGACCCTGTTCAGTAATAAATTGGAGGACGGTTACCGAGCATCATGTACTCACACCAAGGAACCCAGTCCGACGCCACGCACTGCCATATTCGCGCATCCATTTAAACTCGCAATCTCCTACCTCATCCTGGTATCGAATGTCTGCCTCGTTACCTGCCAACCATCAAGTTGGTCTGATGTCCACACGGCGAAGAATTCGGGTACGATACCCAGCCAAAATGAAGATGAAGCTGGTCCTCTGATGTCCTTGAGAGATCCGCTACGACGACGAGAGTATAGAAAAGCAATGAGGGAAAACAATCCTGCTGAGAGCGTAGATAGTATCGCAGTGAGGTCGGTCATTGATGGGTCTTGTATCGTTCTTTCTTGTTCACCTGTCATTTTAAGAGAACAACCTCGAGAAGTCCGCCAGGATCCGACCGTAATCGAAGATCCGCGGCTCTTTGCCTCATTGCCTCAGACTGGTTTCATTTTTAGAACTCGTTTTCCTGCCTCGGCACGTCACCTCGAGCTTGAACGCGCTTCCCTCCCTAGCCACACGATTTCCCTCACTCCCATACCCGTGGTTTTTGAATCAAAGAAGCCAGCTCACGTCCGTTCCAGAATGAAGTAGCTTCTATTTCCGGGCACCGGCAGGAAGCAGAGTAATGCGCAGTCGCATGTGGACCAAAATGTGTAAGGTCCGATGGTGATAGAAGCTTGAGAAGTGCAGGAGATCGCTAATGTTAGAAAGTTGACGCATACACCAGCGGGTTCACCCTGGACCCAGATAAGATATCCCACTGGAATAGGTGTCGCCCCGTCAGGTCAATATCATCCCGTCCCAAGAGCGGTGCCTTGCCGTATGAATGAACCCTGAGTCGGAAATGTGTCCGTGAGTTCCCTCATTCGAATGAAGTCCAGCCAGTGAGGTAGTAGTTTCCAGCGTGTAACACATCGAGTGTGAGATAAAAGTAAGGTTTTCTCGGACGTCGACGCTTTTGTAGGTCCCTAAGCGCCTCGCGTCTGGTACAGTAGCTTGTTGAGAGAAATTAGCTGACGTAATTCGGCCCGATGCCGCCGTGATTGCTCTCCCCAACTTGACCGTCCGTGTCTGAGCGAGACACCCAAAGACCTGCGCTCTCATGCAGCGCGCCATCCTACGACCACTTCGGCATCCCCTTTGCACTCAACGAAACGCATATATATTGCGATCGTATGTTTCCGCACCCGTACCAAAACCGACCCCTGGCCCAACCAAACCGTACCTGCACGAAAAGGTACCACCGCCAGAGCAGTCGTGGCTCACGCGCAAGCTGAAGCAATCACCGACGGCAATGAGAGTGTTTCTCAAGGTCTTTGGCGCGCTTGGATATGGCAGCTCGCGCCAGGTCGCAGCCCGGCGCGCGCTGGCACTATATGAACAGCTGTGTGCTGGTCGTGCGGAGGAGGACCGCGAATTTTGGGCCCAAGGCGCGTCGCCCTTTCCCATGAGTGAATGATACGATTTTCTAATTCTCTGTTTTTGGAACAACAGAGTGTCATCTTCCCCCGACGTTCCAGTCATGGTTCATGGTGACGAACCTCCACATATGGATGCTCACGACACGTCTACGCGCGCTCCCCGCGCCACATGCCCAGGCGCACATCCAGGGGCTCATCGACCACTTCTTCCTTGACGTCGAAGACCGCATCCGCCAGGTTCTCCAGCCACAATCCCAACCACCAGGGCAAACACCTGCACCTGCCGCTGAACCAACCACGGCACCCGCGCGCCCAACACCTTTCTACGGCGCTTCCCCCACCCCCAACACGCCAAACGGCGGCGCCACCGCCCCCGCCGCCCAGAAGCGCGGCCGCGCGCCCGAAGCGCTCGTCACGAAGCAGATGAAAATCTTCCGTGAGCAGTGGGCCGGGCTCGGCGTCGCGCTGGACCTGGCGCTGGCGCAGAGCTCCGACGCCGAGCTGGCCGCCGCAATGTGGCGCAATTTGCTTGGCGCGCGCGGTGCGCAGGGCCTTGCGCTCGCGCTTGCGCCGACGTCGCCCGTGCCGGAGTTCCGGCGCGCAGTGAACCCGGGCGGTGCGGTGGCACGGTTGAGCGAGGCGGCGCGCATGCGCGAGGAGACGCGCGACGACGGCTCTGGAGTGCATGATTTCGGACCTGAGGAGCGCGATGCGTATGTCCAGTTCCCCGAGACGATGCTCGTGCTCACGACGTATATCCGCGCGGAGATCGCGCGGCTTGCCGCGATCCCCGATGAGAAGATTATGGGCCCCAGCGGGGCGCTGGGGCGGGAGGCGGAAGGCGTGGCGGCGCTGCGCTTCGGAAAAATCGCAAGTGCGAAAGCGCTTTTGGATAATCTGTTAGAGGATTCGTGAAGTCGTTGTGCGGGGGGTAAAATATGCGTATTTTTCGTACAAGACATGCCGTATCTATTGACACCACTCAATCGTACTACTCGAATTATCAATCCAGAAATATGGTGTCCAGTCAAGAAAGCCTGTACACCGGGCTGCATAAATGCGCGCTGCAGGCTTTATGTGTGTCCCGTTCCTATCAGTGCCGTGATCCTTATGTCGAAACCCTCCGAACGTATTGGCATTTCAGGGTTGTGGAACGGGTTCTTCATCACTGCGTCCGCGTAAGCTTCATACACCTTCTGAAGCACGGTGTTCGCAGAGGGTTCAGCAAGAGATGTGAGCAGCACAAACTTTGTGCCTGCGTGATGCATTCTTAGAGACTGACCGTAGGAAAAGAATGACGAGGCTTACCCGTAGCGGTGAGGGAGATGTTCATCTTGAAAGTTTCTGCCTCGATGACATGTGCACCAGAGCTCGTGCCGGTCGGTGATAGTCGGCTCGTGATGGCATGGATGCCGTGTAGCGTGCCCGCAAGGACAAGGTATTCGTTGGAGGTCATTTGTGTGAGACCATCTAGTGCTGTGAATGCGATGACAGGTGCGATATTGCCTCCACTTACCGGCAAAGTTGCGTTGATAGACAAGACCGCCAGCTTTATTTATCACCTGTTCGTAATGTCAAATGTTGGGCGGTGTGCACGAAAGAAAAGAAGAGACGTACCCACAGGCCAAAGATGGCCATGGCAAATAGAGAAATTGTGATCGACGGACGAGTTCTTCACGATAAGCAAGGGCAAGTAGAGGGGTAAAATTTGAACACCCTCATAACGAGGTTCGATGGCGTAGTTGGTTATCGCATCTGTCTAACACACAGAAGGTCCCCGGTTCGAACCCGGGTCGAATCATTTTTTCCATAGAATTACATAATACGCGGTAATCACCGTATCATCTTGACACACCGCGACAGTGTCATCGTTTGTTTTCTTCTCTCACCCTCGGTGTCGAGGAGGTATTTGAGCATTCGGCTCAGAAAACTCTCTGGCCAACATGTTTCGGTGGTTGTTGATTTGGTCTTTTTTCACCCTCTCACTTGCCGCCTCCTTACTTGGCGAGCGTGCATTGCCTGCATTATCCTCTTCAGCCCTAACGGACTTGGCCAAGATGCGGGACTCTTCGAAGAACCTCGATGCCTCTGATCCTCATTCTCACCTACAAAAGATTCTCATTCCTAGACCTCGTGCGCAGATTTGTCCACGGTTGCTTGAATTTGTAGACTCATGTATCAAATAGCCGATACCGAAAACAGCACGCTTGTCCGCAATTACATCGTTTCCACTCTCCGTAACCTCAAATGGCACATAGAGGAGGACAGCTTCATAGAGTCAACACCCTATGGTCCAAAGAACTTCACGAACGTCATCGCGACCAAAGACCCGGAGGCGCCGAGACGCGTCGTGTTGTCGGCGCACTTTGATAGCAAGTATTTCCCTTTCTTTCCCCAGAATCAGGTGCGCCAGAGTGCTGTTTTGTCGTGTGTTCCTACCCATCACCAGCCGACCACCGTAGTAGTTCGTTGGCGCAACTGATTCTGCCGCGTCGTGTGCCATGATGCTCGACATTGCGGAGACCCTCGACCCCCTCCTCGACGCCCGCGCGAAACGCATTGAAGAGGGAGATCTGGACCCAGAAGAAGACGAAGACGCGGCCGAGACGACGCTGCAGTTGATATTCTTCGACGGCGAAGAAGCCTTCAGGGTGTGGTCGGACATCGACTCAATCTACGGCGCGCGGTTCAACTCTCCTTCTCCTTTTCTCCTGACATCGCCCGCTCACATACGCCCACTCACAGCCACCTCGCCGAAACCTGGGCAGCGGCTTACCTCCCCCCGCACCCAAAACGCCGTCTTCTCTCGCCCTCGACGCCGACCACGCAGCTCTCCACCATCGAGCACCTCGTCCTGCTCGACCTGCTCGGCGCCGCGCACCCGCTCGTGCGCTCTTACTTCCCCGACACCGCCTGGCTCTTCGACGCGCTCGTCGACGCCGAGACCCGCCTGCGCACAGCGGGGATCCTCGACGCCGCTGTGCTCGGCAGGAGCTTCTTCCGCCCGCGCAGCGCGACGGACAACAGTCTCGGGTACATGGGCGACGACCACCTCCCGTTCCTGCGCCGCGGCGTGAGCGTGTTGCACGTCATCGCAGAGCCGTTCCCGTCCGTGTGGCACACCCTCGGCGTGCGTACATTTACCTCCTCTGTTGTTCGTCTTGTTGCTGATGGCCGTGGTCAGGACGACGCGACGGTGCTCGATCTCCCGACCCTGCGCGCGTGGAACCTCATCTTCCGCGTATTTTTCGCGGAGTATCTCGGGCTGCGACCCGAGTCTTCGAAGCGCGATGAGCCTTCGCCCTCGAAGCGCCACGCCCCGCCAGTGAAAAAATCGGACTCGGAGCTGGTGCGTTCCTGTGTTTTCCCCGTCCTGCACCATAAGAAGAGTTTCTGACGTGGGGCTTTTGTAGTAGCTATTATAGACTCGTGACAGTGCTTTTATTCCCGAACTACAGAATACGGACTGTGAAAGCTAGCTATTCATATAGTGCTCAATATTAAAACGCTTGGTCTTGGCGCGGTCTAGTCATAGCTGCGACTGCGACGGAAGCACCTGGTTTTGGGTGCCCGTCCGCTGCGTCCGCTGAGTGGTAGGCCGGGCCTATGATAGCAGGTGTTTACCGAAGCCTGCTCTTCGTTTCCGTCCACCATTGTATCAACTTTCTCTTTCAGACCGGTACTAACTAATACGATTTGATAACTATTAGATTCTCATGCTTGCAATGCAAACTTCCACATCAGGCATCGGGCAGCTCACCAAGGCGCTTGAGACAGTCAAGGACGACCCCAAGCGCGATCAGCGCAAAGCTCTCAATGTACTCCCTGTCCCGATGGTGCTGCGCCCACACCCACGTCGCCCATGCGCTCCGCAAGCGCTCCTTCAGCCGTTCCTCTGACTCCTCAATCCCAGTTGCAGCAGCCGCGGGCGAGCGCCCTCCGTCGCCCAGGACGATGTGCGCACGTATATCGCGCACCAGCGTCTCGGACTGCAGCCTCATGCGCTGCGCGCGATCTGAGCGCCACCGCGGCTGCGTGCAGTTCGCGAGGATCGTGCCCAGCACGACCTCCTCCTCTGTCAGACGCACGTCCGGCGCCTCGACGAGCGTATGGGTCGCGCAGATGCATCGCATCTCGCGAGTGTAGCGCGCGTGCAGCCTCTCCGCGTGTGCGTTCTTGGGTCCCGGCGCTGGAGGCGGTGGCGGAGGCGGTGGTTTTCGGCTCGGTGATCCCGATCCAGTGGCCCGATTGAAGTCAAAGGTAAAGCCTACAAGCGCGTACCGCACGAGCGGCTTGAGGGCACGCGAAATCGCGTCGTCGAGCGGCGCGATGTCGCCCGGGGGCGTGGTTGGAAATCCCTGGAGGGGCTCGGTCGGGTCGTACAGGTCGATTTTACGGAACAGCTCCCCGAGCGCACGGTCCGATACGTAATAGTCGAGGTCGCGCGCGCCGGTCACCTCGGCTTTGTGCCAGTCCGGCTTGAACCTAATCAGTGTTTTGGGGAGGTTGCCACGGAGGTCTACCCGTTTCCCGTTCTTTGCATAATCGACTGCCTTGCTGCACAGCTCTGCGAGCTTCATGCACTTGTCATCGAATACACCGTCCTGTGAGCAGATGAGGATACAGCGCTCTGTGGAGGGGGGCGCAGCTGCGCACCTTGGATTGATCCGCAATGATAATGTGTCGGTCCGCCAGCAGACCCTATCAGCCACATGGCGGTGTCAGTTTAGGATGGGCATGGTCATATGTTCAGACGTACCATAACGTCAGAACTGATGAATTCGACAATGAAGTCACAAATATCCTCAACAGTTGCGTCGCCTCGTCGCTCATTCAGTGTCCAGACTTCTCCCGGGGGATATTCTGCTGGTGGAACAATAAAGGAAGTAAGTAAGTCCGGATTATCGTAGTAGATGTCGAACGTGTCGCTGGCATCAATCTGTGAATGTACCCAACTTCTAAGGACAAATCACGTACCCATCCAAGTCACCGCCAGCGAGGCACGATGCCGACGAACGGTCACCTGACAGCATGTACCAATTAATAGCAGGACGAGGGTCACCCCTGACAACACCTACCAATGGCGGGCAGTACAACGACATTCTTCAATCCACTAAAAAAGCAGATCTTGTCATCAGGAGGCTTTCCCACCGCATAGACGCGTTGTACTATCATATACAACGACAATGAGTATTGCAGACACCTAGAAAGACGGCGTGCATACGTACTGTCGCCAGGATGAATCACTGGGCTCCTTGAAATAAGACATGCGCCTTTCAAGTATTCAGGTTCTTTGTCCGTAGACTCTTGTACACAGACTGTCATTGCTATGAGCGGAGCAGCACATGACGCGTCCGCGACGAACCATACCATAAATCTGTTTCTCTCTTAGTGTGAATACTTTGTCTGGTCGTGCGCCTTCCTTTATATACGCACGTCCTTCATCCGCGAACGCCGACTAACTGGTAGCTGCGCGGAACCGGGATTCGCGCCTTGAACTTCATCTCTCGAAGCGAGTGATTCATTGAGTCGCGAACCAAGCGTCCGAGGAAGGCGCTGCGAATGGCCTCCTTGTCGAGATGGTCCCTAAAGTCGAGTCCAAGATTCATAAGCTGTTCAAGGATGAACGGCAGGTGGAATTTGAGACCGAGAGTCTGGCTTCTGAGTAGGCCCGCGAATATTTTGAGCGAATCCTTAGCAAGGTATATGCGCGCTTTCGCGTCTTCCTGAAGATCCACAAAGGCCTTCTTCTTGACTCCAAGATCCTCCAGCGCCATCACCGCGGGCCTAAAGAATCGAACGACCCCGAGACTTAGCGTATGTGCATAGGACACAAAAACCACAAACCTATTCAGGTGGACCGAGTTTGGGTAATCAAACGAACGTGCGATCTCAAACTCAGCCTCTGAGACATTGGGCACCGGAAACTTGCGCTGGGACTTGCGCAAGCGCATCTTGATACCTTTGAGCCTACTGTCGACAACAACAACACCTTTGTAGCCGAGGAACCGAAACTGGTACGCAGATGGTCTGACTCGTTTATCCTCGAACTGGTATGCAGACGACTCGTCCTGTTTATCCCCAATGATTTCACGGGCACTGACACTTTTCTTCCCAAATCATGTCCGCCAATTCTGGAGAGATCGTGCCCACGCCATCTGTATGAGGGCCCAGGTCGTCTTGTTCTTCCCACTGGCCGCGCCGAATCTTCACACTAGGATCCGTCGCAGTAAACGCTTGTGCGATCCTCGCTGCCCACTTGCTAGGCGTCCGGAGCAGGTCAGAAAAGTCGCCGAGTGATGCCCGAATCGTCCTTGCGTTGACGTATCCTTCGACGGGATCGCGGAACGGTGAGACGAACCATACGGCATGCTCACGGAGCGAGCTCGTTGAGTACGCGAGGAACTCGAACTTGCGTCCGGCAACTTCGAAGCCTTCGCGTAGGATCTTGCCAACTCGTCGTTGCAAAAACCAGGTCCCATCTACGTCCCCATCCCAACGGTATGCGAGGTGGTCCTCATCGCGGAACTCGACGCGCACAAAACGTGCGACCAGTGTAGGATCATGATCCTTGTAGCGGCGGATGACGCGGTTGGATTGTGTCTCGAAGGGGCCCTCAAGAAGGACACGGGAGGGAGTGATGACTACATGATGGCATAGGAATTTGCCCCTGCACAAGCTTAACTGGATCGATGATGGGGTTCTCTGCGCGAAATCGAGCAAGGCAAGCGCCGGGTGTTTCGCTAGCATCACGTGACCCGAGGACGCTGGAAAATAGGCGAAAAAACTCGCCCGCCTCGG